CCCCGATGATGTCCCCTCCGCAATGTCCCCACCACCCCCGATGTCCCCCCTATGGCTCCATCCCTCGATGTCCCCCCGCCCCGACGACGTCCCCGCTGTCCCCACCACCCCCGATGTCCCCGGTGATGTCCCCGCCGCTGTCCCCCCTCACCTGTTTGGTGACGGGCGGTTTCATCCCGGCCACCGAGGCCTCCTTGGCCAGGGAGGGCTGGCGGGACCGGCCCGGTCCGTAGGCGGGTTCGGGGGACGCCAGCAGGTTCCCGCTGGCCGGCCTCGCCTTCTGCGGCACCCCCAGCGCCGCGGGACCCCCGCCGCCCTTCCCCGCCCGCGACCCCCGCGGGGTGGGCGGCGGGGGGGCCCCGATGGTGATTTGAGGGGGGGCCAGCGTGTCCTGCAGCGAGAGCTGCCGGCGCCCGAAGTCTCCCCCCGGCCGCCCGAACTCGTCGCTGTAGCTGTGGCTGTGCGTGATGTGTTTTTGGGGAGGGGTCGCCAGCTCCTCGCTCTTGCTGTAGCCGTGCAGCGGCGGCGGGGGGACGCCCCCGAAGTGCCCCCCTTCTCCTCCGCCGCCCCCTTCGCCCCTCCCGCCGCCCCCTCCGCCCCCCTCGGGGCCTCGCAGGGGCCCGTCGGCGGCCAGGTGGAACAGAGGGTTCTGGAAGGAGAGCGGCACCCGCAGCTGCGCCGCGCCCGCCTCGGGCACCCCCAGGCGCGGCGGGGCCAGGCTGGAGGCGCTGCCCTGCGAGAGGCGGCCCGGCCGCAGCCCCCCCTGGCCCGCGCCCCCCGGGGCCGGGGCTCCGGCCAGCAGCTCGGCCGGCAGGCTGGGGATGCTGTCCACCCGGCCGTCCTGCAGGTCCAGCATGGACACGCTCTTGCCCACGCCCAGAGCGGCGCCGCGGCCGCCCTCGGGCTCGGTCAGGTCCGAGCTGCTGGTGCAGTAGGCGGGCGAGGAGCGGGCGAGCGGGGGGCGGCTGAGGAGCAGCACCTCCGGGGGGGGCTTCTCCTGCGGCGGGGAGGGCAGGCGGGGGGCGTCCATGGAGCTGCGGGACACGGGGGAGACGGGGGAGATGGTGGGGGGGGGTGTGTGGGGGGTGGGGGGTGTGGGTTATGGGGTGTGGGGATATGGGGTGTGGGGATATGGGGTGTGGGGATATGGGGTGTGGGGATATGGGGTGTGGGGATATGGGGTGTGGGGATATGGGGTGTGGGGATATGGGGTGTGGGGATATGGGGTGTGGGGATATGGGGTGTGGGGATATGGGGTGTGGGGATATGGGGTGTGGGGATATGGGGTGTGGGGATATGGGGTGTGGGGATATGGGGTGTGGGGATATGGGGTGTGGGGATATGGGGTGTGGGGATATGGGGTGTGGGGATATGGGGTGTGGGGATATGGGGTGTGGGGATATGGGGTGTGGGGATATGGGGTGTGGGGATATGGGGTGTGGGGATATGGGGTGTGGGGATATGGGGTGTGGGGATATGGGGTGTGGGGATATGGGGTGTGGGGATATGGGGTGTGGGGATATGGGGTGTGGGGATATGGGGTGTGGGGATATGGGGTGTGGGGATATGGGGTGTGGGGATATGGGGTGTGGGGATATGGGGTGTGGGGATATGGGGTGTGGGGATATGGGGTGTGGGGATATGGGGTGTGGGGATATGGGGTGTGGGGATATGGGGTGTGGGGATATGGGGTGTGGGGATATGGGGTGTGGGGATATGGGGTGTGGGGATATGGGGTGTGGGGATATGGGGTGTGGGGATATGGGGTGTGGGGATATGGGGTGTGGGGATATGGGGTGTGGGGATATGGGGTGTGGGGATATGGGGTGTGGGGATATGGGGTGTGGGGATATGGGGTGTGGGGATATGGGGTGTGGGGATATGGGGTGTGGGGATATGGGGTGTGGGGATATGGGGTGTGGGGATATGGGGTGTGGGGATATGGGGTGTGGGGATATGGGGTGTGGGGATATGGGGTGTGGGGATATGGGGTGTGGGGATATGGGGTGTGGGGATATGGGGTGTGGGGATATGGGGTGTGGGGATATGGGGTGTGGGGATATGGGGTGTGGGGATATGGGGTGTGGGGATATGGGGTGTGGGGATATGGGGTGTGGGGATATGGGGTGTGGGGATATGGGGTGTGGGGATATGGGGTGTGGGGATATGGGGTGTGGGGATATGGGGTGTGGGGATATGGGGTGTGGGGATATGGGGTGTGGGGATATGGGGTGTGGGGATATGGGGTGTGGGGATATGGGGTGTGGGGATATGGGGTGTGGGGATATGGGGTGTGGGGATATGGGGTGTGGGGATATGGGGTGTGGGGATATGGGGTGTGGGGATATGGGGTGTGGGGATATGGGGTGTGGGGATATGGGGTGTGGGGATATGGGGTGTGGGATATGGGGTGTGGGGTGGGGGATGTGGGGGATGTGGGGTGGGGAACACAGACGGGACGAGGGCGGTTGGACACGGCCCCAAATCCAGCTCTGGAATCGTCGGCCCCGCGGCCGCCGCTGCCCCGGCCCCATCCCGAACGTTCCCATCCCGAACGTTCCCATCCCAAACGTTCCCGTCCCAAACGTTCCCATCCCAAATATTCCCATCCCAAACATTCCCATCCCGAACGTTCCCATCCCAAATATTCCCATCCCAAACATTCCCATCCCGAACGTTCCCATCCCAAACATTCCCATCCCGAACGTTCCCATCCCAAACATTCCCATCCCGAACATTCCCATCCCAAACCTTCCCATCCCAAACATTCCCATCCC